TTGGGGTTCAGGCCCGAAACGCTAAACCAGACTCCATCCTGAACCCACGACTATATAAGCACCTATGTTTTTTTGTTGTTGTTTTTTGTCGAGGGTTTAGGGGTAGGGTTGAGGGCTAGGGTTTATCTCACTATTCCGGGGCAGCCCCAAACAATATTAATTAGGGTTTAGGGTTTGGAGTTTAGGGTTATTCATTGGGGCTATAAGGGCTTTGGGCAGAAATTCTTTTGCAACTCCCATATACCCTGAACCCTAAACCCTAAACCCTAAACCCTAAACCCTAAACCCTAAACCCTAAACCCTAAACCCTAAACCCTAAACCCTAAAACCCTAAACCCTAACCCTATAGACCCTATGGCCGCAACCCGGCGCCTCTGCAAAAATGGCTTGAAACACCCGGCAGCGCCTTTTCCGTACCCTAAGAACCCAGAACCTAGGGCCCATACTATGCAAGTACCCGAAACCCTAAACCCCAAACCCTAAACCCTACACCCTAAACCCCAAACCCTAAACCCTAAACCCCAAACCCTAACCCCAAACCCCAAGCCCTAAACTCCAAACCCTAAACCCCAAACCCTAAACCCCAAACCCCCAAACCCTAAACCCGAAGATCAGCACCAGGAAGCAGCCGGCGGATCTCCACGAGACCGCGACGGAGGTCTCCACTGTCACTTAGTAGCTGAGTGAGCACACTTTACACTTTTGGGGTTTAGGGTTTAGGGTATAGAACTGAAAGTTTACACTTTTTTGGGGCTTATGAACTCCGCAACTAAGGTCATCTCCGGCCACAGCACGGCCGCACGGCGGAGGTTAAGCGTGTTGGGACTAGGGTTTAGGTTTGTAGGGGTTTAGGGTTCAGGGTTTAGGGCTTTAGGGGTTTTGGGTTTTGGAGTTCTAGGTTTAGGTTTGGGGTTTGGGGTTCAGGGTTTAGGGTTTTAGGGTCCAGGGCTGTAGCGTAACGAACCTGAAACCTGAAACCTCAGGGCGGCAAGTCTTACTAAACGCAGGACCCCAGACATGTCAGCCAAGGTGGTGGTATCCGAAAAATTGAGGGGGGGGGGGGGGGTACCTTCTTGGGGTACCTTTGGGGATGTTCCCCCTTATACTAACAGCCCTATTAAGGACTGTTAGTATAAGGGGGAACATCCCAAGGTCCCTAAACCCTAAACCCTAAACCCTAAACCCTAAACCCTAAACCCTAAACCCTAAACCCTAAAACCCTAAACCCTAAACCCTAAACCCTAAACCCTAAACCCTACCCAAGGTACCTTTTTATAATGGAATCCTTATAATAAGGCAATATGGTACCCCCAATCAGGTACCGCCAACTTGGGGTCCATGTTGGGGGTTTAGGGTTTAGGGGTTTAGGGGTTTAGGGTTTAGGGGTTTAGGGGTTTAGGGTTTAGGGTTTAGGGTTTAGGGTTTAGGGTTTAGGGTTTAGGGTTTAGGGCTACTTTCGTAAGCCGGCGCGCGGAGGTCAAGCCGCGCTGGACATGGAGGGCGCAGCAGAGCGCTGCCGAGCAGACCCCTGACGCCCGACTCTTTGTTTACGTGGTGGGGGTTTAGGGTTTAGGGTTTAGGGTTTAGGGTTTAGGGTTTAGGGTTTAGGGTTTAGGATTTTCGAAATTTCATAGAGCGCCGATGACTCATAGAGGGTTTAGGGCCTCGAGGGGTTTTGGGGGTTTGGGGGTTTGTTGGTTTAGGGTTTAGGGCTTGGGGTTTAGGGTTTAGGGTTTGGGGTTTAGGGTTTAGGGTTTGGGGTTTGGGGTTTAGTTCAGGGCTTAGGGTTTTCGAAAATGGGGGTACCAATGTTGGGTGGTCCCTTCAAAGGGGATGCAATTCTATTTGGGGTCTAAACGGAGAACCCCCTATTTGGGGAAATACTCAGGTACTGTAGCCCAGTGGTACCCGTTTCCCCTCCTTTTCTCTTTGGTTCAGGGGTTCCCCTACAAAGTAACCAACCCGAAACGAGGGTGCCCTTGTTATAATATGGGGGTTTCCGAAATTCGGGGTACCTTCTTGGGGTCCTTAGTAAAAGGGAATCCTACTATTTGGGGGTCTATATTCGGGGTCTCTCTTATTCTTGTAAACCCCCATGCGGTTACTAACTCCTTGAACACCCTAAGCCCCGAACACAACAGTACGAACCCCAAAGCCCTAAACCCTGCTTGGAGGTTCAGGGGTACATACAACCCCAATCATAACTGTACTTATATGCCCTGAGGTCCCCTAAGTAGGGTATAAATAGACTTGCATCTGGGGTAGCCCTAAACCCTAAACCCTAAACCCTAAACCCTAAACCCTAAACCCTAAACCCTAAACCCTAAACCCCCTAGGCAAAAATCAGGCACCGGCCCTTCGCAGTCGCAGCCATCCGCCCCAGCTCCGGGTGTCGGCGCCCCCACCGCCCCCACCACAGCAGCCGCTCGCAGCGATTTGTTGCTGGGGCTTCTTTTGAGGGTTTAGGGTTTAGGGTTTAGGGTTTAGGGTTGGGGTTTAGTTTAGCGTCCGGCCGTGTGATGCATGGGATCATCTGCTTAGCGTTTAGTACAGAGTTCAGGGTTTAGGGTTTGCTTTAAGGGGGCTTGCGCGGTGTAAGGGTGGTGAAAAAAGGGGTGTGGGGGCCAAAGCCCCCAAAGCCCCTGAACCCCCTCAACCCCAAACCCAAACCCCCTAATTAAACACCCTAATCATCCTAAACCCCTAAGCCCCTAAAGCCCAAACGCAAGCCCCTAAACCCCTAAACACCCTAAACCCTGAAGCCCCTCAACCCTAACCCGGAACCCCACAACCCTAAACCCGAAACCCTAAACCCTAAACCCCAAACCCTAAACCCTAAACCCTAAACCCTAAACCCACACCCCCTACCCGTCCGAGGCTCCAGGAAGCTCCCAGGCCTCCACGCCGGACCCGGGCGCAGGCTGGGAGCGTGGACTTCTTGGGATTTCAGGGTTTTGGAGGGGTTTAGGGTTTAGGGTTTAGGGTTCAGGGTTCAGGGTTTAGGGTTTACAGCACCCTAAACCCCTAAGCCCTAAACCCTAAACCCTAAGGGCAAGCCTGGAAATTTGTACGCGGTATCCGTAGGGTCTTCATCCGGAAGACATGTGAGTCCCCGAAACCCTAAACCCTCAAGAGCCCTAGAACCTTGGGGATGACATGAAAACCCAAGAGGGTTTAGGGTTTAGGGTTTAGGGTTCATGTACCTTAATAAGAATTCTAGTAGAATGGGTATAATACTGGGTATATGACTTCATTCTAGGGTTCATTTGGTCCTCTAAGGAACCGTAAACCCCCTCCCAACTCAACTCTAAACCCCTAAACCCACCCCTCAACACCTCACACGCCTGAACCCCTAAATTTTTGGAATGCCAAACCCAGAACCCTAAACCCCAAACCCCAAACCCTAAACCCTAACCCTAATAAACCCTACTTCTTGGGAGGATTGGCCCCTGGCCATCGGCGCACCACCGCCCCGCCCCCTGCGGCGGGACGCTGCTGTACTGGGCGAGCTGCCCCAGGAAATGCAAGGCCGAAGGCTTTAGGCTTTGGGAGGTTTAGGGGTAAGGTGCTAGGGGTTTAGGGGTTTGGCGTTTAGGATGTTTAAGGTTTAGGCTTCAGGGTTTAGGGGGGTTTTGGGTTTAGGCTTCAGGGTTTGGGGTTCGAAGGTTCAGGGTTTAGAGTATAGTGGGGTTTCGGGTTTGGGGTTTAGGGTGTTTAAGGCCAGGGTTTTTATAGTATTGTTACATAGGGACCATAAGGGAATACTGTTAGTAATTCTTCCGATTCCTAGGTTACCCCAAGTATCCGTAAGCTCGCGTATGACATCTGCAGCTGCCAATGCAAAATCCGAAGCCGCAGAGCTAAAGAATGGCACAAAGGAGCGTAGGTGCAGGAACCAGTGACTTTCCAAAACGCTTAAATGCATTAACCTCCCAAACACCTTAAATCCCCCCCAAATGCCTCCCTAGATTAGGGGGTTTACGAAAATGAGGGACCCCGAATATAGATCCCCAACTACTAGGATTCCCTTATCATAAGGACCCCAATAAGGTACGCCTTTTTTCGGAAACCCTAAACCCTCAACCCTAAACCCTAAGCCCTAAACCCTCAACCCTTACAATAAGGACCCCAAATAAGGTACCCCCCTTTAGGGTTTCTACACCCGACCCCTGAACCCATCCTGCAGGCAGCGGGGTCTCCTACTACCCGCGGCCAAGGTGCGGGTGGGGTGGCAAAGCATCGGTTTGTGAAAGGTTTAGGGTTCAGGGTTCAGGGTTCAGGGTTCAGGGTTTAGGGTTTAGGGTTTAGGGTTTAGGGTTCAGGGCAGGGGTTTGCGGTGCTGGGGCACAGGCAAGTTGTGTTGCATATGGTCAGAATGATTGTTCAATTTGATTTCCGCTTCTGGCTGAAATTTCCCTCGACTGGCGCGTATATGTCGCAAGAGCGACCCACCCATAAAGCAGCACCCGCCACGCTGATCTCGCTTACTAGCAGCATTGCTTCGGGATGCGTTGTACCGCCCGAAGACCATACCATGCATATAATATAGCGGTCGGGGATAAATAATACCCCAAAACAAAAACTTAAACCTAAAACCAAAACCCTAAACCCTAAACCCTAAACCCTAAAGCCTAAACCCTAAACCCTAAACCCTATTCATTGTTGCGGCCCCTTTGTTACGACGTCCCTGCCAGCTCTTGAGCCTAAGCCCTGACCCTTGATCCATCGACAGTTGCTTAGGGCCTTTTTTTTGAGCCAGAAGAAGAGCCCTAGAAGAATAAAAAGAGCACATTCCTGAACGGACAGCGCATCCACGTTGAATCGCTTGCGAATGCCCCCCCATACTTCTCAGGATTCTCAGGATTCCTGCCTGCAGTGATTCTAAGAGGCGCGCCCTCCAGGGAGCAGCTGCGTGCAACGCCTGTTTGGCTCAAGGAAGTGTTGTGCACGACAGTCTTGAGGGCAGTGGCCACCCCCTTTTCCGGTGCAGCCTCCTCTCCATGGTGCTGGACTTCCAGTGGCTGCGAAGCATCTTGGCAAGCGCCACATGGGCTCAAGTGAGTGCCTTGGTCTCAGCCGGTGTGGTTGGCCAGCTGCTGTGGAGTCACTATGGCATTCTCCTGAACCGGAGGCTTCCTCCGCATGACTTGGGCGCCCCGCTGCGGGGCCACACCCTGGAGATCTTCAAGCAGTCCTTCGACGCGTGGGCGGCGCGGATGATGGCAGGAAGGAAGGTGCTGCTGTCGCACTACTTCTCCTCTCATGTCATCCTTGTCCGGCATGAGGTCTACATGGAGCACATCAACCGTGCCGAGAGGAACGGGAAGCTCTGTCCACTCCTGCCGCCCAGCGTCCAGCGCCTGAACGGGGAGCACAGCGTGATCAACCTGCCGGGAGGGAAAGGCCATCAGAAGCACCATCGCCTCCGCCAGAAGATTCTTTCAAGCTTGGGGCCGAAGTACGTCCTGAGCCTGATTCTAGGATGCCCAGTGGTGCCCTTATTCCCTTTTTGGTAGGTTTAGGTTCCCTTATAAACCCCTTCAAGCAAAAAAGGGCACCCGTTTTCATCCTAGGTTACTGGGCAACCTAGGATTCCAGAGATTGCTCATCTGGTGCGGCAGACACTTGACGAAATGGTGGATGAAAGCGCCAGGAAAGGTTTTGCGACCTTCGAAGCCCCAGCAAGTCGATTGGCCGGCCGTGTCGCTGTGCTTCCCATCGTGGCGGGCTTGGAGGAAGCAGAGCAAAATCGGTTTGAGGCACTGCTGGACGAGGTCTTGAAAGGCGTAGCAGCTGAATGAGTACACTTTATAATTACACTTTTTAGTCTACCAAGATACCTTAATCCCTACAGATAGAACTGAAAGTGTACCCTTTTTTGGGGGCTTACATGAACTCAGCAGCTAAGAAGGCTTTGTCTCCACTCCCATCGATCTCGGCCGCTTCTCTGCCTTCGGCCGGGCGATGCAGGCGCGCCGCGAGGTTTGTCAGATGGTTGCCGGGGTGATGTCCAGCCCACGGACCCACCGCCAGAACATTGTGGCAGATTCTTGGTAGCTGAGTGAGCACACTTTGCACCTATTGGGGTACGATAACCCCCCTGTAGAGCTAAAGGTGTACACTTTTTTGGGGCTTATGAATCAGCAACTAAGGATTTGATGAAGGATTCCGAGCATGGGCAGGGCTTCTCTATGGAGGAGATCTCGGACACCGTCTTCACTCTCCTCCTCGGGGGAAAGTTGGCCACAAAAGAAGCGCTGCCTTCCCTCATGGTGCAGTTGCACAAGCACCGCAGCTGGGTGGGGAGGCTAGCAGACGAGGCTGCCGCGTCTGCCTCGCTCGACATGCAGGGCGTGGAGGAGGACTCCGTGACGCTCCGGGTGGTTCGCGAGGCCTTGCGCATGAGGCCCCCTGCGACCTTGCGCCGGGTGAACTACGAGAGCGCGATGGATTTGGGGCCACACGGTGTGATTCCAAAGGCTTCTTGGTGGCCCAGTGGTACCCTTTACCCTTTTTTTTGGTTCCTGGTTCCCTTATAAAGTAACAGGGTGCCCTAGACCCTAAACCCTAAACCCTAAACCCTAAACCCTTATTGTAAGATGGTTACTGGGCTACTAAGGCCTGCCCCATGGCTGTATACTTGTCGCCGCCCAGCACAGACCGGGAGGCAGACTTCGAGCCGGACCGGTGGCAAGACAAGGAGCTCTTGAAGGGGTTTAGGGTGTAGGGTTTCGGGCTTATAAGGTTTAGGGTTTATAGGGTTTATAGGGTTTAGGGTTTGGGGTTTAGGGTTTAGGGTTTAGGGTTTAGGGTTTAGGGTTTGGGGTTTAGGGTCTAGGGCAAGACAAGGCGCTCTTGAAGCACTTCCTCGTCTTCGGTGGTTCCCAGCCACATGCCTGCATCGGCAGACATCTGGCCATGGTGGAGCTGCAACTTAGGGGTTCTTGGAAAATGTTTAACTGCCGGGTTTAGGGTTTAGGGTTTAGGGTTTAGGGTTTAGGGTTTAGAGTTTAGGGTTTAGGGTTTAGGGTTTAGGGTTTAGGGTTTAGGGTTCCTAAGAGACAGCTAAATACATCATTTTTGCGAGGGTTCCAAGTTCAGCATAGGCAAGTCTTTGCACGGATCCTCTGCAAGGAGTACGACTTCCAGGTACTGGATACGACTGAGGTCGTGAATGCCGAGAACCCTTTGGCCATGTCCTACAGGGGCGGCTGCAAGGTCAACATCTCGCGAAAGTGAGCCATGCTCACGAGGCTGAGCACGCTTAGCAACAGCATGTCAGTGTACAGCACTAATTAACAGGTTTAGGGTTTAGGGTTTAGGGCTTAGGGTGCACTAAGGGTTTGCAGACGTTCCTCTGTACAGACTGGGCAAGTCTGCGAGAGAACCGCTTGTAGGCAAGACTTCGCAGGACCCGCGAGCTGAAACCGGATTGCCACAAGCAGCTGGGCGGGAGGAGTTCTGAGGAGTTCACTTGAACGAATCTGGTCTTCCTAAACCCTAAACCCTAAACCCTAAACCCTAAACCCTAAACCCTAAACCCTACGCAGGGATAGTTACATGTAGGGGGAGGGCCTTTTCTGGGGGCCTCAAGGCCGCGAAGCCCTAAACACCTCGAGGTCCCTGCAGCCCCACCCTGGGTGGCTTGAGGATGTCGGGTGTAGGAAAGGGGGTTTAGGGTACGGGGGGACAACCAGGGAAGGAAACCAACTCCCCTAATCGCCCTGAACCTATATTCCCCAGATCGAACCAAGAAACAAACGAGAACACGGATAAGAGCAACCCAGGGGGGAAGGAAAGGGGGAAAGAATCCACACCCTTACCAAACCCTAAGAACCCAGGCACTACTTTTTGAACTTGTGGCTTTCTGTCCAAGCCCATCTTGAGCCAAACATGTTATCCGGGTTCATTAACCCTTCCAACTCTCAACACTAACTCTTTTCTACAATACCAGTTGCAGCTCCGCACTCCCCCTGTCCTAGGATTTCCTAGGACACATTGGAGGTGCAGACCTTTGGCCAAAAACTGCCATTAGGGCAGCAGCCAGCTGCTTGAAATGCACAATATGGTTTTACGTCTACCAGGACGAAATTATAGCACATTGGCTAAATCCACTAACCATAGAGAATCTTTTTTCACCATGATCCTCTCATCACTGAAGACTCCTTGGCCTTCTTCACCACAAACCGTGGTCTTCGCTACGCGAAAAGCTACTGACTTCTACTATCAGGGATTTCCATACCCTTAATAGTAACCACCACATTTGTCAGCACATTGGCTGTTCCAGCGCACCTGTCTCCAGAAAGAGAAAAACCATCCCTTCATCCATACCATCCAATCACTTCTTTTTCCGATTGTTGGCAATCTTGAGGTGAAGTTGCAGCAGAATATACTCCAGGTCCGAAACTGCAAGAACAGGATCCTGTACGCCCCTTTGAATTGAGGATACCAATCCTTCTCTTTTTGCGTCCTCAATCGCTTGGCAAGATTGACCCAGCTCTGCACTCACAGCTGTAGACGCTTGCGCATCCACATCAGGAGGACGATCCTTTTCCTCAGGACCTTTCACCACCACCACTTCTCCCTTTTTGGGACTCTGACTTTTCTCCTTCTTCTTCGCCTTTCCACCGACGTTTGACTTTGTGCGCATTTTCGAGGCTTTTTCCCCTGCAGAAACCGCCGCATTGGATGATGATCCACTCTTCTCAATGGTCGCCGGCATCTTCTTCGGCTTTGGAACCAGGAGAGTGTAAGGATCTTCGATAACTGCAGTTTTCCTCTTCTTTTTAACCTTTTTTGCCTCCTCCTCAACGGCAACCTCCGTCTCAGAAGTCTCAACCACCTCCTTTTCGGCAGGAATATCTTTGCTGGACTCCCTTTCTAGGGACCTCTTCTTGCCCCTTTTGGGATCTTTTTCTTCTTCCACGTTGGCTCGCTCGAACCATATCCTCAGGTCATTGACCCATTCTTCCACCTCCTCGAGCGAAACCTCATACGACTTCACTACTTCGTGAAGTTCCAGCACGGTCAACATACCAGTGGTCCACGAAACCCATTCTTGATCCATTTGGTCAGTATCTCCAGTGAACTTCAGGAGTTTGAACAATGGGTCCGCCTCTGCTCGAGCCAAATCTGGCTTGCCATTGGACAGAAATGAAATCGCCTCCATCAACAGTTCCGTCATTTTGGTATCATCGTCATAAACCATAAAATCCTCCTCACCATCATCGAACTGTTCAGGAGAGATCTCCTTTTCACCACCATTTGCACCAGAACTTCTCCTTGGACCATCCCTTGGGGGCGTCCTTGGAGACCTTGGCCTCTGTTCATCCAGCGGAACACCATGCTCGAAGACACACCTGTCACCAAAACGACACTTCCCAGACCGAGCAAACTGGATGCACCTCACACCAGTTGCATCATGCGAGAACTCACAATCCTTTCCAGCGAAACAGTCTCTCCCTGCCACATAGTATTTGCACCAATACGAATGTAGCACCACATCATCTTCCGAATGGATGAATTTGCAGTCTTCACCAAATTTGCAGCGATCTTTCCCCTTGCCGAACCAATAGCAGAAGCCTTTCTTCCTCTTCTCCAAGCGCTCTGCCTCGTACCGGTCCATAGGGTGATTCTGCTCTACATGAACATTGCCATGTACCTGGGAACTGCTCCCTTCACCCAAAGTGCTATCAGTATTTGATGCTTGGAGTACAGCTGGAAAACCTGGCCTTGGTCCTACCACCTTCATGATTGGTTTTCCGCCAGCTCCTGAGCCATGCTGAGACGATCCAAAAACATTGAACATCTTCGTGAAGGCCTTTCTAGTGCCAATCTTCTGCACCCTTTTGATTGGACATTTCATTGCTCCAACCTTGCATCCAGATGCGTTCAAACGACACAACCTCCTATACCCAGCTCTATATCCCTTCTTCCAAAGAGCCATAAGAATTTTAGAGGCAGTAACATTCTCCACCTCTACCTTTTCCAATGGTCCCTCACTTCCCGGAACAAACCCATCCATATCTGAAGACCTTTCCATCTTTTTTGACACCACTTCGTCGAGGTAGTCTTCCGAGATCCAGGGTAAGTTCCTCTTAGAGGAAGGATTGTCATCATTGCTTGGTCCTTCACCAGGATACCCTTTTGTGCTGTCAAAGATCTTACCAGTAGTGCGGTCCTGCATAGAGAAATTGGAAGCAACGCGAGAGTACACTGACCACAAGAAAATCCTTGTGCCCGCCAGTCTTGACGACCCACTGGATGTCTCCTCTTCCGGAGAGACTTCTGGCGCTTTGCCATCCCTTCCAGTGTCACCAAGTGTCTCACCTCCAGCATCTTCAATGGGAATAAGGGATTCATTGTTCCCTTGATCTAGTACCGCATCTTGTTGATCGGGGATCTCCAGCACCATTCCTGTAGGATCCACTTCCTCATCAGCATCGTCGTCCATTCTTCTCCAGAGAACCTCCAATTGATTAGCGCAAGTCGCCGCCTGAAGGAACTCCATCATTTG